CATCACAGTTATATATGATATGAGAATAGTAAGGCCTGTAGATAGAGAGTATGCGTTATTTAATTGAAATATAATGATATTTTCAGAATTACATTTTAATTTTTTTTTTCAAACCTAGTCTGTGGGGTAAAACGCCCCCCCTTGGTACAAATGTAATTTTTGTTAAAAATCGAATAATATGAAAGCTCTGGACATTTTTCATACGCGGTTTATAATTTATGTCTTTGTCACTAAAACGATGATAACTCTTCTGGACACATTTAACCTGTTTCACAGAAAAAAATTACAAAGTCCTTGGGGGGGGTGTTTTCCCCCACTCTACCCTACACTATTTTTTTACAAAACTCTCTTCAGCTTTGGACGCCCTGCACATGGACAGGATGATGGCAGACACTGGCTTGTGGCAGGAGGATCCTCAGAGCTTCATGACATCTCGTGGTCATGCAGTAAAAATCAACAGCATCCGAGCCATCCAATGTGTTTATTCTTATAGTGGAAGGATTCCTCATTTTTAATCATGGGTGATTTTGTTCAACAGTCTGCCTTTTATGGAAGATGAAGAGGAAGTCATACAGGCAAAAGTTTTACAGTTGCTATGGTTTGAAAGGCAAGATGGGACAGAACTCTATCAATCTCGGAGGAAAAAATTCTCTCCTCATCAGATGCTAAAGATCTTTTATGACAAACTCGTGACATTATAGTTCACCCAAAAATGTAAATTCTGTAGTCAATTACTCGCCCTCATGTCGTTCCAAACTTGTACGACTTACTTTCATCTTGGAAACGCAAATGAAGATATTAGATTTAATAACACCTGAAAGATTTCACAGAAGGTATGTGAAACCAAAAGCAAAACTTTGATTCTTCTTAAAAAGTTCATAAAGTAATTGTAAATGTAATCCATATGAATTTAGCAATGAGTCTTCTGAAGAGACAGTCGCTTTATATGATGAACAGATTTAATTTAGACTGTTATTGACTTATAAACACTGATCAATGCACATACATAAAGCACTTTGTCAAACAGAAGCGCAACCATATTTACTTGATGCGCATTTTAATGTATATTATGTATGCTCATATACATTTACAACATTTAACTATAGTTTATTTACATGACTATTAGCTGATATAATTACAATCCTATTATTCATGCAAATTTAAATGGACCATTTGAGAAGAAGAATAAATATTGGAGACATTTATAGAGCAGTTTTATAAGTATTTTACCTTATGTTGGCTCTTTTGGTTGTCACAGCAAATGGGAATGCTTTAGATCATCACTGAACAATCTTTAATTAAAACCTGGTATGTTAAGATGTTGAGGTATTTACATTTTTTTGCAATACTCAGTTCGGTGAGTATTGCAAAAAACATAACATTTCCGTTGCATTATTCAGAAGTGTGAATGACCTCTGGATCACTTAAACATGATTGAGCATGGATTGCACCAGCATGAACAGTTTAAAACCACGTTTTCATGAATCCATGTTGTACTTCCAGGCCACTTAATAGCTTGTTCAACAAGAGGTACTTCCTGCAGATCCCTTATGAGACGTGTAAAGAGAGAAGAAGGTAGGAACGAGACTCCTGTTTGATGAGTTTGGTTTGATGAACCATTAATGTTTTGACTGAGACCGTCACCTTTTACTGTCTCTAATCAATAGCTCAAGAGTCTATGTGCCTCCGGATCCACCAGGCTACTTTGATGGATATGTCTGGCCCATGTACTTGAAAAACAGAAAAGCGATGGAAGAAACTGTAAATGACATAGGTACTGTAATATTTTAACACTCAATAAGCACAGTGACTTAAATCACTTTTATTGTGGTGAATTGTGTGAGTGAGGTCTTTGCACTTTATACAGTGTTTCTGGATGGCACACAGAAGAGCGAGACGTTGCTCTCAACTGTTCTTGCAGACATTCAGGAAATGTTTATGGTTATACAGAGATGAGCTGTCATGCGAGTAGTTCATCAGCACACTTACTGGATTTTGCCATTTACACTCATTCATTTTTTTCTCTGTCTGAATTTAATTCCCAGATTTTGAGGACCAACGTTTCCAGCTGTCTGTTTCTGCAAGTATACTATCAGAATCTGAATCAGAAGCAGCTTTATTACCAAGTATGTTTACACACACAAGGAATTTGACTTG